GGCTATTAAAAAACCTGGAATCTGCCAGTAATTTAGTGCCGTAAAAAAAGCAGTAAACAGAGTCAGGATACCTGATGCTAATTAGGTGCATGGATTTGGAGAAGTTACCACTTAAACCTCTTTAGCTGCAATGTTCTCAACCAGAAAGGAGGCAGTCTTTAAAGGAACAGACTGGGCTTGTGGCAAGGTCTGAGACTGCTCTTAGTGAAATAGTGCCCCCCACTTTTTTGGGGACAGAGTCTCACTTTGTTGCCCAAGCTAGAGTGAGGGCTGTGGCGTTAGCTTAGCTCACAGCAACCTTAAACTCCTGGACCCAAGGGATCCTACTGCCTCAGCCTCCTAAGTAGCTGGGACTACAGGCATGCGCTACCATGCCTGGCTAATTTTTTCTATGTATTTTTAGTTGGCCAATTAATTTCTTTCTATTTTAGTAGAGATGGGGTCTTGCTCTTGCTGGTTTCAAACTCCTGACCCTGAGCTATCCGCCTGCCTCAGCCTCCCAGAGTGCTAAGATTACAGGTGTGAACCACCACGCCCGGCCTGAAATAGCCCTTTTGTAGGTGACCAAGAATGTAGATAGTGAGGAGGGCTAGTTTCTGTCTTCAAGTGGGAATTGAACCATGCTTGCTCTGGGCTTCTCTTCCTGAGCCACTTTTTGCCACACATCTAAATTGTACTTCAGGAAACAGGCTTCTCAAATGTGCTAACACATTTGTCTCTTGTAGCCCTGGCACAAAAACTGTTTTCGATGTGCCAAGTGTGGGAAGAGTCTTGAATCAACAACTCTGACTGAAAAAGAAGGTGAAATCTATTGTAAAGGTAAAATTAATTTCATTTATTGCTATATGAATATCCTACACTGGTTATTGTTTAATGAAACGTCACCAACATAAAAAAAACCAAAGGAGGTGTCACTGGCTATTGGAAAATAAAAGATCCCAAGATGCTTACAGATGACAATGAACTACAGATAATCTTGTTTGAAACTCCCCCACAAATAAGCAAAAACACCAGTTATTTTTCAGCTTCATGTTTTAAGCAAAGCATTATGAGTATATGAAAGTAATGGACAAATATGTAACTGATCTGACTTATAGGCTTGCAACTCAGCTGAACACTATGCAACTAGAATGCTTGGACTTACCTTCAAGGCTTTAAGATATTTGCTACGTGGCACATTTTACATCTTAAATGATTTAAACTCTTTGACATTGCCAGTAGTTTGTTTTTTAATCCATGGGGATTTGTTAGTGGGTCTTAAGCAATGCTAGCAGAGCTTAATGGACTTGTACTGACTCTCCCTTTTCTTTTGTAGGATGCTATGCAAAGAACTTCGGGCCAAAGGGATTTGGCTATGGCCAAGGAGCAGGAGCTCTTGTTCACGCTCAGTAAAGGTGTAAACCCAGAAATAAGCATTACGCACTGAGAATCTCTTCATAATCTAGGCCCAGATAATCTTGTAACACTAAACTACTGTGAAATTCTACCAGCACTAAGTACTGTATATTACCCTGTACTTGGATAGGCTGGCTATCCTGTAGGCAATGAGCACTGTATCCTTTGCTTTATTCACCAGCATTTTCAAGAACCATTTCTTTTACATTTTAAATAAAACTTCAGCTTGAATGTGTGTTCACTGTCTTTTAATTAACCTTTTGGAGGAGCTGGTGTGACTTCAATTAGTAGATAATCATTTGGGCCTCCACTTTGTTAAAGAATCAACCCCCTCACCCAGTGACTCACTAGGTTACTGTCTGCCTAACAGGTGTTGAAAAGGATGTCTCTTTTAGGCTGGCAAGTACGTCCCAAGAGGGAGGGTTAGTAGGCAACAGGCATCTCCATTTCAGCTCCTCAGAGCTGGTGTTCGGCAGTGCAGCATCTCTTTCCTTCCTGCCCCACTATAGTCTGAGTTCCTTTATACCTAAAAATAGTTACAACCACTTACAGACAACTGTAAACTCTCCACTCTAATCTGATAGATGATGATTTACTAAAACCAGGAAACTGGGGTGTTTTCACATATTTCAATTCTGCCTGAGTAGCAAAGATGCTACATTGTCCGGGCACATTCAGCTGGCTCTGGTAGAAAAGGAGCATTAGACTATATATGGTATGGTTTCATTATTCCCCAGAAGCTTTAGTTCTTTACCAAGATATTCAATCTTTTCCCCCCACAAGGGTAAGGTGTGAAGTTGGCCTGTAACATATTAGTAAAATTGAACCAGCCCAGTCTGTAAACACATCTTAATATTTTCCAAGGTCCACTTTAACATACTATATTGCTTATTTTGAAAAGCTTAAAGAAGGTATGGTATGGCATCAAAAAAATAAACCAAAACATAATGGGAATAAGTTGAATGAGGATGTACTGGGTGGTTATTTTATATCTTAGCCTTGAGCAACTTTAGGTGTTTTATAAGGCACACCAGTTCCATCGTAGGAGGAAATTTTGGTTCAGCAGTCTAGGAAATAGTTAACTGGCAATAAAAGGGGTTGAATTGAAGGAGATGAGTTATGGAATAATTTCTGGTTCTATATGTGGTAGTTTTAAAACATGTCCACGACTTCTTTGACATTATCTTAGTGACTCATTTTTAACCAAGAGAGTATGATGGACAAGGCTAGGTTAGAAGAGACAATACAGCTTTTGCCTCTTTCTCTTGGGATGCTCACACTTGGAGTTCAGTCACCATGTTTTAAGGAAGCCCTGACTACATGGGGAAGCCATATCTACAAACAAAAATGCTTTAAGCCATCAAATTTTGGAGTAGTTTGTTAGGCAGCAAGAGATAACCAGAATGAGAAACAATGGGAAATACAGTAAAGTGTTCCTTACAAAAAGCCTACATTTCCCATACCTACCATGTTTCCCAAACTGCAAGATGGTTGCTAGTAGAACTGGAATTGGAGTTGCCAGTAGATATTCCAGAGAGGAAAAATAGTAACAGTGAAGTTGCCAGGTGCTTGGTAATTTGAGATTTCTGTCTGGTAAAATAAAACAAGATAGATAACCATTCATATTTAAAATCATTCTTGATTAAATTGGGAGTGATGGCAGAACAGCTACTCCAAAACTATAAAATTAGTTTCCAGCTGTTCTAGGAGTAGAAAAAGGAATTTGGCTTTAGGCCACACTCTTCTAGGAGGATTCACTTTGATCATTTGGATGTAAGTAAGGTAGCACCAAGTAATCCAAATGCACTATTAAAGTGCTGCATGTTCAATATATATATTTTTACTTTAAAAACTATCCATCTGATGAATTTTCAGCCCCTTATGTTGGTTTAGTATATTTTTATGGAAGACTACTGTCAACTCTAGTTCCAAAAAATCTTCCTGATCAAATAAGTTTATGGAGTGTTACAGATTTTATGTATATATAAAATACACACATGTATGTATATATGTGTATGTATCCCTGTAGAATAACAGTGCATACTAGCATATTGAAGGCCTTGAGATCCGTAGTTGAAAAGTCAATGTTAACTTGAAGAGAGCCTTACACTGAATTAGTTGTCCATGGCAACACTGACATCTAGGGAAATGGAGGTCTGGACCTGTGGTTCTCAAAACTGTTTGATCTCAGGACCCTTTTACATTCTTAAATTATTGAGGATTCCAAAGAGCTTTTGTTTATGACAGTCGTATTAATATCTATCAATATTTTCCACATTGGAAATTAAAACAGTTTTTAAAATTTAATTCACACTTCTACTTACAGCCAAGATGGAGTCACTGGAAACAGACAAAGTATGTGATAAGATGTTCAGGACTCTGGCCATCAGGCCAGAAAGACCAGTTATGGGGAAAAATGAGATCATTCTTGACCATTACCAAAGTTTACTGCCTTGAGAATTTCCAGGCTACTACTGTACAAAAGGGAGAACACAGGTGGAGCTGGAAGCCACCTTGAGTTGAGGAGACAGAGCTGAAGAGTCCAGGGTGACCAAGGTGCCAAAAGTTTAGCAGGACTAGAGAGAGCCGCACAGGGAGAACTCTAGGATTATGCAGAGCACTACCCTACCATGATAGTTTTTAGCTGAGTTCTGGTAGAACATGCATGTTAGGTGACTACCCAAGGCCAGGGAAAGAATCAGGGAACAAAAGGCTCAGAGGGAACAACTGTCCCTGTACTCACACTGGGTGGGAAAAGCCTGTTCCCACCAGTGAGACTGGGAATCATGACTTCCAATTATCTCCATAAACTCGTAAAAGCACACATCCATCCATATTATAGGTAAGATCCACCAATCAGGCAAGGACTGAGAGAGACAGATAAGTAGACAACAAAGAAGAGGAAAGTACTTGACTGGAATGAAAACTGACAGCTTGCTTTATTTTATACAGTTGTTCAAAATACTGTTACCTGAGCTCTAGACTGCTCTTGAGGCATTTTTCAATATCACAAAATAATTATAAATGGAGTATTGATCCAATCTGAAAATATTCTTGTTTAATACCACTGGGTTCTCAAACCATAAACAGACATGTAAACAACAGGAAAGGGCTCCTTCATATTTTTTCCTTTTTAAATTCCCAAATAAAGTTCTCTTTGCAATCTAAAGGTCCCTGGTATTAAAAAAAAAAAAGAAAAAAAAAAGTTCTCTTTGCCATGAATATTAGATCAATGTTTGGTAGATTTCATTTTGCAGTATTTTATTATAGTATCATTAGACATACTTACATTTAAAACTTGGAGATTTATATAGTCCCTGAGGATCCTAATTAACTCCATGGAATCCAAAATTCTTAAAGAAAAATGTATTTTTTTTATTTAAAAAAAACATTAATTACACACACACATGCATACACACAGTATTAGAAATTTTTTTAAGTATACTAACACCACCTTTTACATTTGTAAATTCCTACAGTCTTACACCATTTGACTCCTTGTTGACCAGGATATAAATATATAGAATAATCTTTTCATACCATAGTTACCATTATCATGGTTTCATCAATTTCCTGAATGAACTGAATGAAATCATAAACAAGTACACACTTAAGAGTCAGTATTTATTCTGATTAATATTTTACAAAATTTGACAGATTTAATTTATGTAAGGAGAGCTAATTTATTAAACACTTTACAGGTTTTTCTTTCACAGAGTAACACAGTAAGTAGCAAAATAATACTTGGCACAGTTATAAATAAAGAAAATATAAAATAAAAATATCCATAGCTTAAGTATAATGATGCTGTTTTATGCCTATTAATATTTCAAATAAACTCCTGGAAACAAAAATATTAACAAAAACTCCAAAGAAGTAATTCATGTTCAGAGCTGAGAATTAAGTTCCTATTTGCTAAAAATATCCAATTAAGCTGATATGAACTATTCCCAAAAGGTTCACCATCATATACAACTTTAGAACTGGGTTTAATTAGTTGGTTCTACACGCAGGACCTACCGAATAATTAAACAGACGGCACACTGCTGCATAGCTGGCTCCTAGCCATCCAACCATTTCTGAGTTATAGATTTCACTGGTACTATGAGATGGTTACTCCTGATGCATTCACATTGCTAATATTTTCCATGTAATTTCTAGAGGTTTTTGTCTATGTAACTGAAAGACATTTCTTTTGAACTGAAAAGAATATTGTACCACAAAGAAAGAGCATGGTGACAACATTCTTATCCAAACTCTGAAAAAACCACCATAGTCTTCAACTGTAGGTAAAAATGTATTCGATAAAAATTGCAACTGAGTCTTCATGTGAAGTGGCTCAAAATACAAAATTAAAACAAATTCTAACATTGTATAAATAACTTTGAATTTAAAAATTATCTAAAATTTCCCCCAATTAGTAGTCAAAACTAGCAGAAACATTTGTAAAGTTAACCAATTTTTACATTCTATGACAAAATGGCACAATGCTATTGCCACCCCACACCCATCTCTTCCCTTTTCAAAAATAAAGCACATATGCCAATTTTCTAATATTAAAACACTCACATACACTAAGGGTAATCTTTTTGATGTGTGACTTATGGTCAAATAAACTACTATATAAAAATGGTACTTGGAAATACTGAATGTCAACTATATACATTTTCACTGCTCCTCTTACTAAGGCAAGGGGCGAGTATACCACTAGATTGCTTTAATACCTGTAATCTGCATTTTACAGAGAATACTAATTTTACCAAGCATCAGACATGCAGTGAACTTGCAGGGTATAATGCCTATTAACAGCAATTTTGAACATCACTAGAAGCTCATTAGTTATCTCCCTTTTCTTTTTGGTTGGATAAAATGAAATGAGCAGCTTTAAAAACACTAATACATACAGACACAAAGAGAAAACTATTTGATAAATTATTTATATACAGATACACATTCTTTACACTGGTCGAGGATCTGTCATCAGTCTGACCACACTCCCTTCCCCTCTCCCACCCCATTCCCTCTCACAGGTTTCCCACAGGTTGCTCGAACCACAGTATGCTACAGCACTTAAGATGACTAAACCAAATCTCGCTCTGTAAACAATAGTTATGGAAGCAGTGACTACTTCACCATGAAGGTATGGAAATGCTGCAACAAAAATTGATCAGTGCATCACATTTAACAGTAAGAAAATCTTTCTGAAATTGTTTCAGAAAGAATTAACAAATTTCAAAACATATTCAATAATGGGAAAATGGAAATAATCTTGGGGATTAAATTCTACTTTCTGATAGGTCATTTTTTTTGGAAACCAGAATATACCATTAGCATTTCTTTTATTCACATATGCTATGTACAGAGATCATGCTACCTCTTTATGTAAACTCCATTATTTTGTCTATAATTTATTTTGCAGCTCAGAATTTCAAAAGAAGTATATCCATTTATCTATATTACTGAGAATTTTGCATTATTTGTTCTGCCTTTTCTTGAAAATATCACCTCAACTCTTTTAAAAATTGGACCACTTGAACATCAAATTAAATTCTAATTTATTCTTCACTGGAAGTATCTGCTAGTATACATTCTATGTGGTGTATCATGCACTTAGTAGGGCTTTTAAATTTGAACAAAATAATGTAACTTACTATACTCATGCAAGTGCTTCATTATCAGACCATAAAACCTCAGAACAAGGTTATTACAAATTATTTCACTGAACTAGAAATATATCAGCACTGCAACAGCTGATAGAAACAAAATATTGTTAGCACATTTTATTGTGAACGTTATTTTCTCGTGCCTTTGAAGACATATTACAGTAGACCTCTAATAAAACCACATGATTTTCATCACAGTATTTACATGTACATTCTAAAATGTACATAATACTAGTCAATCAACGTAAGACAATTCTCCTGGAATTAGATGCAAAACTTTTAGTAGACTGCATCATAAAATTTAGCCATTTACTGTAAATTTAGTTTTAGCTAAAACTGAACATTTCTGGTCAGTATATCACTTCTGTCAAAAAAATAAGTTCACCCTTTTTTCGTGAAAAGTACTATGAGAACAAAACGAAAAAGTTGAGTATGTTGTGAATTTCCACATTAAGAACCATTAAAATTCTCTTTACGATCTTTATTCTTCCCAGAAATGGCAGTGTGTTCTGTCCATGTTTACTTTTGTTAATAAAAGTGTTGAAAAAAAGACTGTAAAATTCACTGTTAGCCCTACACATAGCATGCTCTTGTTCAAAGGATGTGGATTCGAGTGTGAGAGAGACACGGACAGACACAATTTTCAGGCACCACTCAGCAATATGCTTCATAGGATAAAGATGTTGCTACACAAGTTGGTACCCAGATCCTGATATTTGGTCATATTCTATCGTATACTGCCTGGTCCAGTCCACGATAACAGGACGAAAGAGGCCACAGCATCGAAATTCAAAGAAGTCTATAATATTCCTTACACATCCGTGGCTAAAAGCATCCCCCCAAAAAGAACAAAAAGAAAAAAAGTCAATTAGTACAAATGACTTAATACATGAGTTCAATATAATTTTGGTGTTAAAAATAACTTTTTCTAAACTTAAAAATGCAAGAAAGAACCAATTTGTAACTCTTCAAAATACATATGAATTCGTTTTTCTCCACTTCTCTGCCAACACTGATTTCTCCTTCTTTCTTTTGCTAACTTAAAGGGCTATACAACTATATTTTAAAGTTATTCAAATTTGCATTTACTTCATTCCTATGCCATATGGAGTTTTTGTTAAAAATCTTCCTTGTTTGGTGGCTCTTTGGCAAGAAGACAAACTACCTCCAAAATTGGAAAAGAAAGTAAAAGAAAAAATAATTATAAATAGCATGAATTTGGCAGTGGACCCTTGAGTAACAATTTAAAAAAAGAAATGTCATGGAAAAGTTCAGGAAATTTTAGGACTTGAATAACACCTTTGGAAAAGCAGTCAGTTTTACCTCTGATATAATTATTGTACCTATGGAAGAATTCTCAAAACTGCCCAACTGACTCCCTTTTGTTTTTATTTAAAAGATTTGCTTCCTTTCTGAAAGTATACAATAATTAATATTATCACAAAAGCTTAAGGGTTGATAGTGGCCTGAGTAAAACTCAAAGTGTTAAACATTTCACGTGATTAGGACTCTACTGTTTCTAAGCACCAGACTGAATCCAAATTTAAAATTCAAAAGAAAATATATACATATATAAAGAGATATCAAAAATATATACATTAATATGAATTGTTATGTTATCATATTGAGCTAACCAATGCTACTTCTGCAGAAATCTTAAATTCAATAGTATTTAAAAGCTATTTTACATACAGCTAAGTAAAAGAAATAGCCTCCATTTCATATCCTACTGCGTTACCCACAGACAACATTTCTCTTTGATGTATTCACAGAGCAATTACTGAGTCTAGTTAGTAAGGTAATTTGCATGACAAGGGAAAATACTAGAGTTATAAATATGTACATACTTGAATGGGCTTTCAATAGATGTCGTTGTGACTTTAAAGTGCTTGTATCTTCTGGCATTCATTCTTTCGTTTGTAGTAATACCTAAACATGATATCTGAGAAGAAAAAGTAAACCATTACTTGCTCTGAATATTTAATGTAAAAACAAGTTAATTCTCAAGAGGACTAGGATGGAGAAAAAAATAATAAAGTCTGTTTTTGGTTTTCCATCAGATCATCAAGCTAGTTATACGGTATCATTTTGACTTTGTGAAAAGTAGCCAGTTCCATGGGAAAAATGTTTGAAAACAGGTAACTTAGCATAATGCAGGTGGACAGATAGATGCTACAACCACAGACAACTTCTCCATCAGCCTCTTTTAGAATGATCTTTTAAAATATCCTTACTTTTTAAAAAAATGAACACAAAGTTGATGACATTATCAATCTAAGCTCACACATATCCATTTGGATGTATTTGACTCAGGAATGACACAAATAACAATTTTTGTTGAGAGAAGTACTGAAAATCAAAAGTCGCTAATATGAGAAGGAGTAGAAGAGGGCAACAGAAAGGAAAAGTAAATTGAAAAATAAAATTAATCCTTGAAAAGCAGGAATTTAGGAAGAGAATACATTATCATCTTTTAAGCAAGGAGGGAATTTTTAAAAGAGTTTTCAGTTAGTACACTAAAGAAGAAATAATGCACTTGAACATACCTGGTACATCTGACACATGAGCAATACAGCCACCCACATGAAATGAAAAACACTGTTCAGAAACATCCAAAACATCCAAGGAGAACATGTGGCAATTTGAGTAATATATGTCCAAAATCCATCCTTGGTGTAAGTGGTCTCACAGTGCAGACCCCAGTCTAAAACCAGAAGTATTCACATTTACTCAATATCACCCAAGTACCTCAAACGGGCATTTGTACTGGCATCACTTAGAAAATATAATCTTTAACAGTCTAGATATAATTGATGACATTTAATAGCAAATGATTTTATGCTCTTAAATAACCCCACATGTATTAGTGAAAAAACATAACAAAGAAATGGAAAAGCAGTAGCCAATCTTTAAAAATATTACTGTATCTTAAGAATAAATGGTAATATTCGGTATTGCAGACACACAATATTTTTTTTTAATCTTCCTTATACAAAGATGAGATATATATATAAGTGAGATTTTTGGGGGGGAGTGGGAGGCATATAACATAACAGAATCACCTTGCTGAGGTGAGTTTTCTCTAATACAAAATCTCCTGCTCTTTGAAAGCTGCTGCCATAAAGTAGTACTGTTATTGGCAAGAAACTATTCTCTCTCAGGTGTGTTGGGTCACAAATTAGGCCAAGCTCTGTGACCAAATCTTTCTATTTATCTCTATTTTAAGATGTAGCCTCCTTTCATTCTTAGGGCAGTAACACTGATTATTTTTAATATCTGTGAGGGTAGGAGGACCAGGAAATCATCTTTCCAATATTTCTTTTTAAACTAGGATCTAATATGCTTAGCACCACAATTCCCTGAAGCATTGTAACTACTACCTTCATTTAAACTCTTTCCAGATTGTGTTCTTAATGCAACAGAAACTCATCATTTCTTCTAAGGTACTAAATTCACATGACTGAATTAAGGACATCTTATCCTTAAAAAGGTAACTTCTGATACATACTAATATTCTCAAATAGGCAATAATTATACCTTACTTTTCAAATATTTCACATCTGTGCAAACTTAAAGTATATTTTCCCAACTGTTTGGAAAGAAACAACTAGCACAACCACTTAATCTATAAACTCCTAGAGTAAAATAAGCACGTGATGTGAAAAATGTCAATGTATTTTACTCAGAAGCTTTTCAAAGCCTATTAAACCAACATATTTTTCAAAGGACACAAGTATTAAAAGGTGGTCAACTGATAATAACTGTTTGCTTATACTAAATGTTGAACATATTTGATGGATGTTTTTTCCTTTGTGCTTCATAAGGTGTCCCAAATCATAATTTTTAGTTAAAAGACTGTTGTCATTATCATAATTTGTTAATATGGTAAGTATAATCTTGGTATGCAAACATTTATGTTTTAATAAGGCAAAAAACAAATTGTACTCACAAGAAATACAACCGTAAATCATCCAGCAGATCATAAAAAGCAAGAAGAATAGGTAGCCCATAAAGTATCTATGGTTGCCTGCACCTAAACAACATAGAAGCAATATTTTTTTAGCTAAGAAAAAATAACTGGTAATACATCTTTGAGGAGGATGTCATGAAAGGTGTGATCACATACATAATTATTTTATAAAATGGTTTTCAAGAAAATATTTTAATAAGAATGCTTATAATTACAAAGATGTGATGACTGTAAAGATGTTCATTCTGAAGGTAAAGGAGTCTCAAAAAAATAAAGAAATCACACTTCTGATCTTTAATCCTATTCTTTGCTTTGTGAGGTTTAAACCCCACTTTATCTTTCTTTTTGTAAACTTTATAATTCAACTTTTCAAAGGCTTCTCCTGAACAGTAACACAATCTTTGTAATGTTTCCCCTGTCACCTCTTAAAATTTCCAGGGCCATCTCTCAGAGCACTTAGTTACTACACCATTCTTAAACACCGAGGTGTGTACAATTCTTATCTGTCATTCCTCTGTGTCTCTGTACATACATTATGTCAAATATTATTGCCTTACTTTCTCTAGTTTAATTAAAAATCAGTATTATTTGCCTCCTATCAATTTCATTGTTACCCAAAGGAGAAAGAAGGGAAGAGTACGCACCAAGAGAATTGATAGAGAAATGATATCAATCTTCTCCAGACACTGGTTTTATAACATTCCACACCCCTCCCCACCACCCAGCTAAATTGCTGTTTTGTCAACCAGAAGATAATTGGGGGAATGAGAGGTGCAGGAATAAAGTTTCTATTATCAATTTAATATTGTACTTTATCAGTTACCTAAAGTAACTTAAGTGAATGATACACTTAGAAATTTCTAACATAACTTACCTACACAATTACCCACCCATGGGCAATGATGGTCAAATTTCGCTATACAGCGGTTGCACACACCACAATGTTTGGACCTTACTGGTTTCCGTATCTGTTAATAGGCATGTTAAAGGATTATGAAAGACATTATACTAAGAAAAGCCAAACATTTATTTTCTAAAAATATAATTATTAAAAAAATCTGTATTTTTAAAACATTATATCAAGGTTTCCAAACGAATAAATTCAAACAAAAATCACTATTGTTTTGTTTAATGAAATTCAACTGCAACCACAAAGACTAAAAGGATAAGCCTATTCCAGAATATAAACTTTTAATATATATATATATTAAATTTTATTTTAGCATATTACAGGAGTACAAATGTTTAGGTTACATATATTGCCTTTGCCCTAATCGAGTCAGAGTTTCAAGCGTGTCCATCCCCCAGACGGTGCACACTGCACCCATTAGGTGTGAATATATCCATTCCCTCTCCCCCTTCTAAAATACATACTCTTAAGAATGGAAGAGAACCATCAATTTACAAAAATAACTAAGAATTAAAAACAAATTTGGCATTATGATGAATGATAAATTTACATCCCCCAAATTTCTGAATAATAAAAACATACCACTTTCCAGGCTTCTAAATTATGTCTCATTATTAATGATTAATGGTCATGATACTGGTTGCTATTTAATAAAACTGTTCCTTATTAAAAGGAAGATCATCTTAGAAGTGAATTAAAAAAGCTTTTAAAATTAAAAATCATTAATAAAATATGTTAATAAAATAATTTTTACCCAAATTAACAATGCCAGCACGAAACAGTAAGGGTATACATTTCTCTTTATTATAATAATAAAGTGCATCTCAAGATCTCAGATTAAGCATTTTCCCTGCTGAAATGCATGACCATATCTAAGAAAGTAGAACATGCTTAAGAGGTTTAGATAGTCACTATTTCTTGCAGAAAAAACAAAATCCATTAATCAGCTCTTGATAGGCAATAAAGAATTCATATTTATGATGCCTCTTTTAAGTGTTTTGTAATGTTTTTTACCCCACATTACTCTAAATCAGCCAAGTGAATACAAGAACTCATTGGTGATCCTCGAAGGGCTGGCAGTCCCAATGATGGGTATATGATAAGAGTTAGAGTTGTTAACTAATGCCAGAAACAAAATTTATAATATCCTTCATTGGTGTTTCAACAAAAGCACTGCCATTTCCTTATTACTATGCACAAGGTTATACACTATTTTTTGAGGGACCAGGTAAAAGGCATAGGTGGACTGTGCCGTTCTTATATTTACAAAATGATCTGTGGACCAAAGAGAAGGGGACTATTCATCACTACAGATGTGAGAGTAAATCTACTAAGGGGAATGCAGTTGGATATATCAAGCAACTTCTACCCTCACTTCCAACCCTCAATTATGTTTTCCCTTTGGGCAAGACTAGTTGAAAAGCTGTACAACAGACTGATGGGTTAAGCAGTGATATGGTCAGAAGGTTACTGAACATAACAGTCCCCTTGTCTGACTTACAAAGTAATTCATTTTTAGAGAACTCTGATCTACATATGTCTGTTTATCAAAGTGAAGCATTCTCATATAAATAAAACTACTTGTCAATTTGAATCATTTTATAATAGGATATGTTCTTTATTTTATAACAAGGAATTATCTAAAGTACATGGCTTAAAATAACATAATATATAATAAAATAGTTACACTATGATGACAAAAATAGTCTTGTTTTTGCCATCAGATATTTACTTAACAATGAAACTGCTATCTCTATTGAATGACGATATAATTTGTTTGCCATATGGGAAGTATATCAGCATTGCATACTTGACTTAGTGGAACAGAATATTATTTTCACAGAACAGCAGTGTACCAAAACAATCTAGATGATAAGCAAAGAATGTCCATCTTATAGATTACCCAATATAAAGCAGAGAAACAAAAACCTTTTTAAATAATGCCTGAACATGTGAAAGAATCTAGTCAGTATTCTAAAGTTGCTATCCAAAGTAAAGCAGCATATATTTTGAGTATTCAAAATCGTAACTAGAACCTGGCTGTAACCTGCTTCTTCAATTGTAAAATGAAAGTTTACTAAATGTGAGCTAAGCTTCCTTTTTTGACTCTTTTGGTTCTATATTTTCAAGCCTAAAATAAATTTGGATATGGCCTAAAAAAACCAAATCGTAAACTGGTCAAAGAACATTAAGTGAAATAACTTAAAAAGAATCTGTAGAACCAGAATTCTATCTCAAAACTCATTCCATAACCCTGAACCAATTAATCAAATGTTAAGGCATCAGTTTACTTGGAATGTATAATTTAAAGTTATGAAAAAGCATTTGGTTTCACGTATGATTTGTGGATATCTCAATTTTCATGTAGAAAAACACAACTTAACCACTGTGGCAGCCTATAAATTATTCACAAATACTAACTATAGGCCAGGCGCGGTGGCTCATGCCTGTAATCTTAGCTCTCTGGGAGACCAAGGCGGGAGGATCGCTCAAGGTCAGGAGTTCAAAACCAGCCCAAGCAAAAGCGAGACCCCGTCTCTAGTAACCCTTTGCACTCGGATGTCGAGTGTGACTCGACACAGTTAGCAAAAATTATAGAGATTAAAATTACTCTTTGAATGTGTCAATAATTTGAAATATTAAAAAATCCAAATAACTAAGTTTGTATGAAAAGAAACTCCAGTTTTTTATTCTACTGCCGCGCTTTGTAAAATCTGGGGTATTTAAAAACTTAAATCCCTAGTAGAATAAAGGAATCGAGAAAAAAGCAAGTGAGTGCAAAGGGCTAAAAATAGAAAGAAATTAAATGGCCAACTACAAATATATAGAAAAATTAGCATGTGGTGGCACATGCCTGTAGTCCCAGCGGGAGGCTGAGACAGAAGGATCGCTTGAGGCCAGGAATTTGAGGTTGCTGTGAGCTAGGCTGACGTCACGGCACCCTAGCCCAGGCAACAGAGAGAGAGACTGTCTCAAAAAAAAAAAAATATACTAACTATAAATGCTAAGCAGTGGGCCAGGCGTGGTGGCTCACACCTGTAGTCCTAGCACTCTGGGAGGCTGAGGTGGGAGGATCACTCAAGAGCAGGAGTTCGAAACCAGCCTTACTTAGTAAAAGTGAGTCCCCATCTCCACTAAAAATAGAAATTAATTGGCCAACTAAAAATATATAGAGAAAATTAGGTATGGTGGCACATGTCTGTAGTCCCAGCTACTCGGGAGGCTGAGGCAGAAGGACTGCTTGAGCCCAGGAGGTTGAGGTTGCTGTGAGCTAGGTTGACATCACGGCACTCTAGCTGGGGCAACAGAATGAGACTCTGTCTCAAAAAAAAAAAAAAAAAGCTAAGCAGAAAATAACTAAAACAGTATTCTATAGAAAACTGATATCTATAATAAAATAAACAATGTCAATATTACTATACCTGACTCCATAAATAAATACTACTTAATTTCATATATCTCTTTCCCTACAGACCTGGTTGAAGGTGACCACTTTTAAAATAATAAAATAGTGTTCAAAGTTGCATAAACACTCTAATACAGACAAAAACTACTCAAACTGAACTTGTCTAGAGGCCATGTTGTCTTAAAAGTTATTAATATTTAATGGATTTTCTCACCGTGACTTTTAAATACGAGAACACATTTTCTCAAAATGTAGTTAAGAAAACAACCTCACAGGGAATCATAGTAAACCTTTGATTTTAAATATTTTATTACTTAGTTTCTACTTTATTGAGCTACATTTTAAGAGAAAAAGAATGAGAATGAATATGAATAAATGGTACCTCTGAGAAATGTAATCAAGGTCTACCATCAGGAGAATAAACACATTGGGAGGGAGATATCTTTTGACCATCTTTCCTCTTGTACCATTCTAAATGGTACTTTTTAGGGGAGATGAAAATGTGTGTTTAGCAAAAGAAATTCTTCTCCTTGTTCCCCATCCCCTCAAAGCTTTGCCACTGTCAAGAGGAAAAGGAGGGAGGAAAGAACAAAAAAGAAAATACTACCAAGCAGGTACTGCAGAATATACTGAGGTCCAGACTTCCTGTCTCTGCAAGTTCAACTATTGTCTGTGAATTAAAAAAATAGTCATTTTATTCAAAACTGAACAAAGCTCACCAACTTTTACCATCACTATGAATCAATAAGCAGGATGTTCATCTTCAATGTACCCATGTTTTCAGCTCAAAAGAAATAAAATCTTTTGTCCATTTGCTTCTGCTATTTTATTACAGTACAAATACTGAAGAACATAAGGATAGCAATCTCTGTGCAACTCAGAAAGGGGGGATTAGACCGTAAGAATTTGCCATTGTCTTAGTTTACTATGGACAAGAAAAATTCAAGATTTGTTGTGTTTAGAGACTAAATAAAACAGCTCTTAAAATAATCTAAAATGCCTCCAGTCTAATTCTCTAAATGTACGATATTCTTTAGATTATAAATTTGGTTTCCTAAGTACCTAAGTACAGAAAAGGGGTGCCCTGGATCATATATATAAATATTTAGTTACTGGAATTGTATACTGGCCTTCTAGTTTATACGGCTGTTCAACAAATATCTACTAAATGTATACTATTTCCTGGGGATTTTCAGAGACTCCTCAAAGCAATCACAGTACCCTTATAAGGGAGAGAAACATGAAATTATTAAATATCATGAAAGTGTGAGGACAGGCTTCTCAAGAGCACTAAGGGTAAGCACCAAATAAAATATACATAATCTCAATTTAGTTTAAAACTTCTTTATATTCTAAAAGACAGTTTCTTCTAATATCTGCTTTAAATTCTATAAATACTGATAATTTGACAGCCAAACACATGTGACTTAGATTATATTCTGCTACCTTTTTCTTTTGTTCTTCTGTAGCTTTAATAATCCCTGGATCTGATTTCCAAGATTTTCCAAAATTGTAGAAAAGTGCAACACTATTGGCAAGAAATGGAAGATGGATAAATAAAAAGTTGAGATGTGCCTGAAGTTAAGGAATCTAAAGAAGCAATGATAAATGAATTACTATTATATATAAAGTTATAATCTATAAAATTATACCACAAAAGAAAATACCTACCAATCAAAAATATATAAGCTGTTTTTCATCAAAATATTTTCTCATGTTTATAACTAAATGTAAAAATGATGTGACTTCTTTATAAATTTTACATCAAGTACACTGATCTGACATTTTAAAAGTCAGTGAATATAGTAAAAATTCAGTGAGTACTATATTTTTAAATGACTAATATTTCTTTTGACAAAAATAAAGGGATTTCTCATGTTCAAAGTTATTAACATATACTTTATGTATATGCATTAAAATCTTTATATATCTACCAGTGATAAAAAGATTGCTTTTAACTATAAGGAAGTAGAAAAATTCTCTCCTTTGCCCTTTTTAAACACACAGAAGTTGTCCTTAATTTCAAAAAAGGTATTTATAAACTTGCTTAAAACAGAAATAGTTTCTATGTTCACTTTTTTCTATCACATAAAAATATAAGAAATGTACTCAGCATTTATAAATTTAAGTGAATAATCAAAAACTATTTTAAATAACACTGAAAAATAAAGCAATATTGCTAGAACAATACATTTCTGAGACATCAAACAGCTGATACACTCAAAGACCATTCTGAAGACTTTATACGGATCCAAATATTATACAAGAATTTCACAAGATTTTTGACATTATCATGTATATACACTTTTTACATTTCTCATGAAGGACTGATAGAAAAAGAACTGCTTTTTAATTAAATAATCCTATATTTGATTGATAAATACCAAACCACCAAATAACCAACTAAAATACAGGGGAAACAAATGAAGAAGAAAAAGAATTAGTTTTTATCATCAGCCATATTCAAAAGTGATTTATTTCTCTTTTGCTTTTTTCTTCTGTCTCCTATCTTCCCCAACTTTTACCATCTGTATTCTATAAAATGTACTGGTACAGCCACCAGAGAGCAAGAATTCAAATTTTTAGCTGTTCTAACTCCAGCTCTTGAGAAAAAGGTGTGCAAAAGAATGCTGAACCCTGGTATTATTCAGAAGCAGTACCTTTATTTATCACAACAGTTTCAAAAAGGTTCTAACATGTAAATAAATAGGTCAGGCTCTTAGAACTTGGATTAAATTTGCACGGGGCCAGCCAGCAACTCAATATATGACTACATATTTGAAAGGGATATTCCAGAATTAAATATCAGATGAACTTAAAGAATTTCTTTGCTTTCTATCTTCAAATGGTAGTGTGAACTTTAGCAATAAGCTAGACAAGCTAATTTTAAAAATGTAAATGAAACAGCCACTCTATAAATAGCATGGTTGTTTTCGTATTAATATGATTATCAGAGACAATGAGAAAGCACTAAAAAAGCATAAAGGCAAAAATAATACTAACAGCTAGCAATAACTTCTTTCAATTTTGGTATTTTGTATTTTAAATCATAATCAGATCATAATGTATTTAAATATTAAGATTAACAAAATAAATAACATATTAATTACCAACTATGTTTAAGCAGCACAAGAACACTATTATAAAACCTGGTATCCTCACTTCACAGATGATAAAACTGAGGCATAGGCTAAATTGTCCAACATTACAGAGTGAGTGAGAGGTAAAGCAAGTATTAAAACCCAGTTTCTCATTATCTGTGCTATTCTGCCTCTCCAAAGTAATCTTCTAGGTCAATAAATATTACAGAAACAGTATCTTTAGGTATAAACATTTTTATACACACCCTTTTATACTGCTAAATTATTTTCCAGACAGATATATCAATTTATAACCCTCCCAGCAACACTGACTGCTTGATTAGTACATTCGCATTAGCACTGAGTAAAGAAAAAACGTTGCCACTTGTTGAGGCAAAAGAAGCATTATTTTATTGTTTTAATTTCTATTTATGCTTTTATGCTTAAACAGCCCTCCAATTAAAGATAAAACAAATATTAATTATTGATGTTTTCATTTAAATGTTTATATTCTGACATAAAGCACGTTAAAAAAAATAAATAAATAAATGTTTATAGAATCATTTTTTACATTTAACTCTTTAAACTATTTGGATGTTATTCTGATGCCTAGTATGAACTGCAGCTCTAACTTTAAAGAAACATATCTAACTAGACTTTCAAGCCAGAAGTACATAATGAAATTCACACACTAAATTTCTTTACTCAACAAAATATACCAAAAACACTAAATCAAACACATCAACTGCCTCCCAAAATATTAGCAACAACTTTGGAAAGGGGAACAATCCACACTATACTGTAAAGCTCAAAACTGAAAGCCAATTAAAGAAAATGATTCTGGTAAGGCAGGTTGCCTAGGACAGCTATTAATCCTGCTTCTACCTCTACAAGTATTAATAGTATGAAAAACTGCAGGTGAGTACTCTGATCAATCCCACCCTGGCCCTCTGCTATGGACTAACTGTGTCCCCTCAAAATTCGTATGATGAAGCCCTAAGCCCAATGTGACTGCATCTGGAAACAGGGTTTTTAAGGAGGTAATTATGGTTAAATGAAGTTACAAGGTTGGGACCCTAATCCAATAGGACTGTGGCCTTCTAAGAGGAAAAGAGAATTCTCCTACTCTTTGTTCTTGCCTTGTGAAGACACAGCAAGAAGAGAGTTATCTGCAAGCAACGAGAAAATCCTCACTAGAACCCAACCATGCTGGCACCCTGATCTTAAGCAAGCAGTCTCCAGAACAGTGGGAAAATAAATTTCTGTTGTTTAAACCACCAGTATATTGCTATGGCAGCCTGGGTTAACTAATTAATACACATTCTCACTTTTCAGCCCCACTCAACTGGAGAAAAAAAACTGAAGTGGTGAATAGACAATTTTAACTAGTCAAGAAAATCCCTTGAGGAACATAAGTCCCTGAATACCACTGCATGGCTTCCACTAAGTATCAAAGACATACTAAGGCTTGTCATTAATAAGGTAACTTAATTTGAGGGGGTGGTTGGTGGCAGATAATTCCAACATCATTCTATCTCTAAGGCTAGTTAGAATGGAAACTCAGGCAGAACATATAACAAGATCTTAAAAGACAGCTAAATTCAGGTTCCTGAGCAAGAACTTAAAAACTGAGCTCTTTTTTCCCTCAGGCTACAGAAAAATGGATGGAAATTTAGCCAAACTGTAGCACTGAAGAGATATCCTGGTACCATATAGGATAAGAAAAACTTCAAGAATTATTCTATAGCACACCAGAGAAAACAAAAAAGTCTGAATAAATTTGCCCAAGTTAATCAGGAACATGATGAAAGATGAAAAGAAATGGTATAACAACTATGCGAGCATACTTAAAAAAAAAAAATCAAATAAAAAAAAGGTGCACAACATTCACAAAGCAAATAACTCAGTCTGAAAACCTAAGGACAAAGGCAAATTAACAAAAAATGTTTCATAATTAAATTAAAATGAGTCCTATACGAGATTAGAGATAAGATGATACAATAATTAGAACCACATGAAAAGGGTAATTCTATAAATAAGAAAACACAGACCAAACAAAATCATTACATAATAAATGAACTAAAAATGTATAAACATAAATACAAGGAGCATAAAAAGATGATGACAATCACAGTAAGTGAGGAAAAGGACAAAACAATAATTAGAGACAGGAGTACCAACACAGATGATAGCCAAAGATAATTCAACATATGCTTAATTTTATCCCTGAAGTAGGAAACAGAAAAGAATTCAGAGATTATAATACAGAAAAGTTTCAGAAAAAAAATGAAGGAAAACCTCCATTTTGCGTATTATATACCCAATATACACAAATAAAACCTCCATTTTATATACTGCATACTGAAAAGACACACTGTATAGTAAGAAAATCTGAGGGATAATGATTAACATCCTCTGAAATACACTGGTTGTTTTTCAATCTCAATGATAAAGAATGTCCTTCTTAGTAAAATTTTTTTAGTATCTTTTAAAATGTGTTGCTGAGCTGCCAGTGGAGTAAGAGAACCCCATGGAGACCAGAGATAATAAATAAGCACAAATCTAGAGGTAAATTGGTTCAGAAATTTCATGCCCACTCTTTGAGATTTCTCTATCCCCATATGCAATATGCTGTTTACAAGAGACATTTCTAAAATTTAATGTCATAGTAAGGTTTAAAGCAAATACTAATTAAAATAAAATATTCATTGTTGATGCTTTTTACTTTTGGTCACCAGATATTGATGCAAGGTTCAATGCATTAGAAAGAAATAATTTTAAACCTATATGCACTTAACAATGTAACTCCAAAATATGTAAAACAAAAACTGAACCACAAAAAGAAACTCACAAACACAGTGGGAGATTTTAACAGAACTCTCTCAATAAATGATACTAAAAATGATAGGTAAAAATTTAGTAAAGATATACTGACTTTAGCAACTCAATTAATAAGCCTGATTTTATGTATAAAATTAAGCTAAAATAGTATATAAAGTGTTACTTTTTAACCTTAAATGTTTCTAAAGTGTTACTTTTGAATCTTAATGAAAACTAAAGGATTAAATCCAGAAGTTAAAGAAAAAAACTGAGTAAGTAGACAAAAGGAAATAAAAATTATTGAAAGTGAAAATAAATAGAAAGGAGTTAACCTAAAGTTGTATCTTTGAAAAACCTAATAAAATAGATTAACTAAAAAATGGACAGCCCTAATTAATATAAGGAACAAGAAAAAAGACATGGCGTCTGAGCTTTAAAAACAGAAAATATAGCACATTTGAAAACAGAAGAGATGGACAAATCCCTAAAATATATTAAATATAAAGTTGAGTCAAATAACCCATATATTATAAAATTCTTCAACAAATTATAAAATTAACCTGTAAATAACAAAGAAATTGACTAGTAGTTATAAAATGGTTTTATAAAGTCTAATAAACTGCTAAGAAATCAATAATTTCAACTAACCCAAACCTTTTTAAAGACTATAA